CTCCCTGCAATAAATCCGTATTGCTTTTTAGAGAATAAGTTGTTCTTTTTCAAATGCTCTATAATAAATTCACGCAATATCTTCTCCATTATTTTGCATACTACAGATGTCAAACTGACTGGTCTATAATTTTTGGCTAGTGACTTATTACCCTTTTTAAATATAGCACTTATCATAGCATTTTTCCAATCGTTAGGTACTGTCTTACTTTCAAGTGATTGATTATATATTATACATAAAGGATTTGCCAATGATTCAGCGATCTCTTTTAGCAGCCTAGGGTGTAGTTTGTCCATACCTGGAGATTTATCTATTTTTAATGCTTTTAAGTGTTTCAGCACTACTTCTTCCTTTATTTTCTGATTTGACATTTCATTAGTTACTAATACCGGCGTTGGTGATGGCACTACTCCGTCAGGTTCCTTGGTGAATACGCTGGAAAAGTATTCTACTAGTAATTTGGCCTTCTTGCTATTATCCTCCGTTTTATCTGATTTTGTGTCTTCTGGATCCAGGTGTAAATCCCCAATTCCTTCTTTGGTTTTAGTTTTTGACTTGATATAACTCCAGATAGCTTTTGGGTTTTCTTTAGCTTTTTCAGACAGATTTTTCTCATATTCCCTCTTCAACTTATTTACTCTACTTTTTACTTGATTCCTTATCTTATTGTATTCTTTCCTCACATCTGGGTCGTTATTATGCGTTATCTTTTTTGAGAGGATGTTTTTTCTTTTAATTTTATCTATGGTGTTTTTATCCATTGGAAAATTGTTTTTCCCTCTACCGATTTGTTTCCTTTCTTTTGTTGGTATATATTTTTTGTCCATATCTTGAATTATACTTAAAACTGATCTCCAGTTTTCGTTTATATCATTTTCTTTCTGTAGTAATTCTGACCATTTAATGTTATCTAGTTCTTCTTTTATTTTTACGTAGTTTCCTCTATTAAATAATTTAATTATTTTTGGTTTACTTTTAATATTTGTATAGCAACTAAAGTCAAATTTCATAGTGCAGTGATCGCTTTTTCCCAGTGGACTTTGGTATTCTAAATCTGAGATCATATTATCCTCATTTGTTAAAATCAGGTCTAGGGTATGGGGTGTATTTGTACCCCTCCATCGTGTTGGTCTTGTAACATGTTGAAATAAGAAGTTTTCTTGTAGATTCTCTAAAAATTTGTATTCATTACTTTCTGTACTTTCACCTGGTGAATTCCAACTGTCCCAGTTTATTTCAGGAAAATTATAATCTCCCATTAATAGGATATGTGAGTAGCCTTTACTACAAGCTTCAGTGGTAAGCGTATTTAATTGTTTAGTGTATTCCTGTGATCTGTTTGATGGTGTTCTGTATATTAGGCCTAATAATAGCTGGTCTGACTGGTTTAAATTAATCTTAATAAATAAGTTTTCTTGGAATTCTGTATTCATTTGGACCTGTGATGCGTCCAGTTGTTTATCTATGTACAATAAAAGACCTCTGCCTGTGTCAACGTCTAGGTTTTTACCAAACATGTTGTAATCGGATACATCGGCTAAAGAATATTCTGAAATTCCTGGTTTGTACCGATTATTTTTAGGTTTAACCTCTGTAATACCAATTATTTTTGGTTTATCGTCTCTTGTTCTTACTGTTAATTCAGGCAGCTTGTTGAATAACTGGTCTGCATTTGTGTATATACAGCTTAATTTGGGTAAAACTGTAAAATTATCTGTTTTTACATTTTTAAAAACCTTTTTACCATTAAAATTATTTACATTCTCTTTTCCTCTTTTATCTTTTAGGAGTCTAGCTTCCTTAGTTTGACAACCTTCCTTGCCCAAGGTGGGCCCCTTACTTTGAAATGGTAGTCCCCGAAATCTCTTCTTCGGTTTGTCTTCTCGCTTGATCCCACAATCTTTTCTCTTGCTCTCTTTCTGCTTGGGTTAGGTCGTTACTGACTCCCACTTTTTCGTATTTTGGGTTTGTTTTTATATAATGGATGTTTCTAAATAGGGTGATCTTAGGTTCTGCACTAGGTAATTTTACTAGGATTGGTCTATTTAGCTTTTCTTTGTTAAATTTCCCATGTCTTTTAACCATTTTCAAATTTTCCTTATCCAGTTTTATTTTGCAGTCTGTAAAGAGCTCGTTTAGTTTTTCTTTGTCAGTATTATCTCTTACTTCTTTGCTCTCGTCATCTATTTCAGGGATCCCAAAGACGATCAGGTTATTTTCTCTTGCCTTTCTCTCATTAATTTCTTCAAGAACATTTGTTACAGTCTCCTTTCTTGTTATAGGATTGGCTGCTATATCTATCTCATTGTTTGTCGAATCGCTATCTCCTTTATTGTCTGGCTTTTGTATCTTGCTTATTTCTTCTGTTATTATGGCTTTAACTTTTTCCTCATTACAACTTTCTTCTATGATTGGTGCCTCTATTTTGCCAACTTCCTCTTGTACCATCATTTTTACCATATCGTCATTGCAGTTTTTTATTTCCTCTCTAACAATCTCCTTGACTTTATCCTCGTCACATTTATTTTCAACTGTTTTTTCAAGTAATGTAATTCTTTCCTCATAACTCTCCATTATCTGTTTGCACCTTCTTTCTATTTCAATATCGGTAACTGCATGTTGTTCCATGACTATTCTGCATTTCCCACAAAACCACATTGCATCTGTTTTACATAGCATGCTGTATTCCGCTTTTGTTTTCTTTAGACAGGTTATGCAGAAATGTTCCTTACACCTTTGGCATTCCATAAGTTGAGCCTCTGGCTCCCTGAAGATTTTGGTACATTTGCGCATGTCCATGCTTCATCCTCATCTTGACTTGTTTTTTGTGACGATTTGGGGCCTGTGGTACTGTTTTTTCTGGTTGACGCCATACTTCTTAATTAATAAAAATAGGGCTTCCCTATTTTTTTTTTTTTTTAATTATTATTATTTTTTTTTATTTTTTTTACCTGCCTGAGGAATTGTATAAGGCTTCCTTACACCAATTTATTTTGTAGTACTTTATTTTATTCTACTTTTATTTAAAGGACAAGTCTACCCTATCCTTGTCTAAAGTTCGATTTCAAATGAAGCTAGACTATCCTAATTTTGACAGGGCTTCCCTATCACGTGTTTAATTTATTTCGGGACAAGGCTCCCCCATCCGTTTGACATAAACTGCACTCTCAAATGATAGAAATAGGGCTTCCCTGTTTCCTCAATAACTATCTCTCTTTACTTATTTTTCAGGACAAGGATTCCTTATCCTCCTAAAATTATTAGCACTGACCTTTTTAATAAAAACAAGGCTTCCTTTGTTTTTATTTCTCCTTGTTGTATATATTCCTTTCCCTTACTCAGAAGACAAGGCTTCCTTGTTTTCTGTTCCCGTTTTAAATAAAACTAGGCTTACCTCTACGTAATAGGGCTTCCCTATTACTTTAAATTTTTTTTTTTTTTTAATTATTATTTCTCTGTTAGAATATGCTTTTTTGCTTTAAATTTGAAGACAAGGCTTCCTTGTCTATGGAACTGAAGTACCTATCTATAGAGTCAATATTTCACTTCGTTATGTACAGAACAGGGCTTCCCTATTCTGTCTTGCCTCCCCAATAATTACTATGCCCAGACAAGGCTTCCCTATCTGGGTTTATTATATATATATATATAATAATAACAGTTCCCTTTTACTTTATGCAACTGAAACAGGGCTTCCCTATTTCAGTGACTCCTCCTTAACAGGTTTCAGACACTTCTAGGGACAGCTCCACCATTTTGTAAACCCATAATTTAGCTAGCGTTCTATTTGGATGGATGCCGTCTGACAATAACTTATAGTTTTTCGTGTACCTCACCCTGGTTTTGTTTTTGGGTTTGTTCGATATTATTTGGTCTTGTGAAAATCTGGGTGCTCTATACTTCTTATTAAGTAATTTTAATTGACTATTATAGTAGTCTACTTGGTAGCACAGTTCTTTATCCAGGCTACTCGCTTGTGTTACTGATCTAAACCCTTTTGACTTATCAATTACTAATGCCGGGTAGTGCCTCTTGTTTCTTTCCTTTTTTGTTACAATTCTGGTACCACTATACTTTTTCACTACTTTTATAAGGAGTAGTTTGTTGGTTTTTTCTGATTGTTGTTTTGTTCTAATATGTCTTTATTTTTCTTCCCTTCTCTGATTGTTTTATTAAATGTGGAGATTGAATAATATGGGCATTCAAGAAAGATTATAGTGACATATTTGAATCTTGTAAGTATTTTGTCTCTTAGTTCTCTATAGCCTGTTAGTATTGACTCTATATTTTGATAGGGGTAATTTCTTAGGTATGTGTATTTTCCCTTTGTGGTAATCTCACAAGTTCCAAACCAGATTAGAATAATTGGGTCTTTTTGTTTCAGTTCTTCTAGTTTTGCAAAGAGGTTTTTAAGTGCTCATCAGTGGTGGCTGTAGTTCCGCTCTTATATGTTGCGCTTTTACTTTGCATCACTTCTCCAAATGGAACTTTGTGACTGGTTGATAAGTTCCGTTGGAACTTTTGGGCTAGTTTGTTAGTTCCGGTTTTAACTGATTTGGCAAAAAGGAACTTTCTAACTAGTTGATATGTTCCGTTGGAACTTTTCAACTAGTCACTTTGTTCCGGTGGAACTTTTAAACCAGAGGAAGAACAAAGTAACTAGTTAATAAGTTCCTCCGGAACTTTTCGGCTAGTTAGTTCTTTCCGCGCGGAACTTTCCAACGTCGGAACAAAAGAGCATTTACACATGCAGGCGAATCCTTAAATTAAGTTTCAGCCGGCCGCCAATCCGCCGATGAGTGCTGTTGGAAAAAAGTCTGCTGAGACAGCACATGTTTAAAATTTCGGTTGTACAAGCATCTCTTATTATGAAATCAATAATTCATATAGTAAGTTATACTATATAAAACCAGAGACATATATGTGTATTTATGTCTCTGATAAAACCTTGTGTGATGTTGATGTTTCGGAAAAGTTACTTGTTCGTAACGAAGACGGTCCGAAAATTACTTATTTTTTAAAACAAGTATGGCTGCCCTTGGAAGGACGTTGGCCAGATTATTGCCAAAAAAAGGAATTACTCGTCCATATGGGTCCAGCATAACATCTGCAGGCAGCAAGGACTTTGAGGGAAAGAATGTTGATACTGTAACACATACTGGAGAGGTATATCACATAGCATACATATTGAATTTCTTTAAAGTAGATTGGATGCTACGCATACATAATAAATTGGGTATTTACAAATAATAATGTTTACCCCTTATAGTGTTTCCTTCAGCTTTTGAAAAGGGCAGGGTAATTTTTTTCTCAGAGGGCACTCTTATCGCGATTGGCTACACTTTAAGGGCACCCTTTGCGTGGAAGACTATGCATGACAAAGAGCATATGCAATGCATTTAAGGCACAAAAGAAGTGCTGAATGCCTTTTGGATCTCTCATGTTTATACCAATCAAAGCTACCTTGGCTCACAATTGAACAAATAGTTTTAGGGTATTCAAAGATTTGTATAGCAAGACTTACAATACATATATTCTTCTGTCCTTCATCTTTTTTCCATCTGTGTTTTTTTTTTATTGAAACGTTGTTGATTTTTCGTACTATCATACATGTACATGTGACAGAGTTGTCAAGTCACAACTGGAGATTTGAAAATTTTCAACTGGAGTTGGGCCTCATAACTGGAGATTTTTTATCGACATATTTATTGCCGTTTTCAGTGTTCATTTTGATGATAAAGCTACATATTTCCCCTTTTTTTTAAGATAACAGTTTAAAGGCCGGATCTGACCTATAAAATTTACCAGGTGGTAAGCAATTAAGCATATTTGGAATGAGGGGTGGAGCTAAGTTATAAATATCACATTACTGACAAAATTCAAATCAATGAAATAAAAAAAGGAATAAGTTTTAAAATTGCCATTTTAATTATTCTGAATATTCGACTTCAGTGAAAGAAAATAATACATAAATCAAGTACAATTACATTCAACTCCAACTCTCTAAATTGTAATTATTGTTCCTTTTGTTTTGTTTTTTCTTTTTGTATATATTGTTTATATAGCTAGACCAGATTTTATCTCTAAATTTATACATTGCTTTTTTGTAGTTTTTCTTCCCCTTTTTACTCCATGGTCTCCTATGATCATTGAGATGGGACACTGATATATATTCACGATCAATGTTTTCGTTCCAGTGACAGACGGCTAAGTTATTTCTTGCATTGTACTGTAAATCCCCAAAAGAAATTCTCTTATTTTGATAAATGTTTATTACATTATTAAAACTTTCCACATACATGTAAAAAGTATCTCTGTCAAGAGTGTAGTCATTTGCATATTTGTAAATATTCGATCCGAGGATGGCATTCACAAGTAGTTTTTCAGCTACTGGATCGGAAATCAGAGATTTTTCTTACTTTTGATTATTTTTCCTCGCAACAACAGGTTTTTTTTCAGGACCAACGAAAAAGTTGAGATGTAAAACTATGCTTCAAACGTGAATAATGAAGTGGGTACTTCACAATCATTTTACATGTAGCAATGCACATGTTTGAAGCATAGTTTTTCTGTCAACTAAACTGGGAGTTTCATATAAAATTATAGAAGATGAATCCTGTGTTCCAGGAAGTAAAAATAATGATTTTCATGATTTATATTGCAGTTTTACAGTATCTTTAAAAAAGTTAATGTCATGAATGTTTGTTAATTATAATTGAGTGTTTATTTATTACAATGTTAAGTCAAATACACATGTAGACTTGTAATAGATTATATTAGACAACAGTGCTGCAAACAGGTTTTTTTTTGTTAGAAAGAAAAAAATTTAAACCAGAAATATATTTATATTTTCGCAAAAGGCAAAAATGACGACCGCCAATGGAAACCCTGGTTAGTCATGTAATTTGGAAAATAAAAAGATTTTTGGATTTGCTAGGAGTGGGACGGAATCGTAACCCTGACAGAAGAGCAGTCGTAAGGTAGTGTTTCCTGCAGTAGGTTTTGGTGTGGTATGGCGCCCTGCCCTTTTTAGGCTGTTTTCTGCTCTTTGGTCGGGTTGTTGTCTCTTTGACACATTCCCCATTTCCATTCTCAATTTTATTTTTGTTAGAAGCGAAAAAAAAAAATGAAAGTGGTGAAAAATATATATAATGAAAAGTGACCCAGGGCAAACAGCCATCTTGTCTGAACCTGATTGATTTGATAAAAAAAAATATATATGTTTGTTTAAGGTTACATAAAAAAATATAAGGTAGGTAGGTGGGTATCTCCATTAGTATACATTATTTTGAGTCATGCGGTCCCTTCTGCCGTAGTCCCAGTTGTCCATAGGCTGAGTTTACCTATATTTTTAATGATAGGATTATATCCCTTGGTTATTTGTTGGGAAAAAATGGTGTCAAGAGTGTTTATTTCATCACACCATTTGTGAGTTTCCTTAAAACAGCTGTCATATTCACTATTGTGAACATTGGGATGTATCAGGCAATTTATTAAATTTATTGGCAACTCTAACTTAGCTTTTGACAGAGTTCAGTTAATTTTTCACTTTATGACGGAAATAAAATGACTCAGGGTTGGTCGGGTAACCGTATATATAAAAAAGAAGATGTGGTATGATTGCCAATGAGACAACTCTCCACACGAGACCAAATGACACAGAAATTAACAACTATAGGTCACAGTACGGCCTTCAACAATGAGCAAAGCCCATACCGCACAGTCAGCTATAAAAGGCACCGAAATGACAATGTAAAACAATTCAAGTCTATACAGCCTGAGCCATATATTTTTTTTTGGGGCCTTTGATCTGGAAGACGGAGAAGCAACACACAAAAGCGTGTCTTGTTATTTAGTATTATTGATATTATATTTTGTCATGTTTGTAAAGTGGTAGAATTATAAAAATGAAGTACTTTTTAAATATTTTAGAAAATGGAACCTGGTGACTGGCGGAGGGGAAGATTTGTAGACAAGGTTAAGTTGGTAAGAAATTAGTTTGTAATGTGATAATAATAATGAACTTTTCCAAAAAAAATTATTGTTGCTAGTATTTCAGAAATATATATACACATATATAGGAGTCAAGCAGTAACATTTTAAAATTGCTAAAAGTAATAATTTAAATAGTTTGTAAAATATAAAAGGGGATGTTGGGTATACACCAACAAGAGAGCAACTCATTAACACAAAAAACCTAAAGACATCTAAGTTAGCTCTAAATTACCTGTTGTGTAGAAAAAATGTAAATAAATTTAATACCCCAGGTTACCCTTGGGTAAAGAAATTAGTTCAAATTTCTCTGTCTCAGCATACACTGTGTGGGAGTGGCATAATTAACTAACCAGTCACATCTAGTCTGAAATTTCTGGTGTGAGAAAAATACCATGCTCCCTGCATTTAGCTCACTTACAGCAACTCTTTGTAGGGTACTTAGGTTTTTTTTTGCAAAACAAACTATCTGTCCCTTTCCAACATCACATAATTTTCCGGATGCCCTTGGTGTTGGTTGACACTTGCATTACTTGGCTGAACCTACCTTAATTTTTATGGTGAATTTATTCTTTTCCTGAATATGCACATGCATGAAATGATTGCCTCTAGACATAAAGAAAACAGCAATCTATCAATTTAACAGACTATCAAAGTATAGTATATACCGTAAAGTAAATGTTTTTTTCTGTATTTTCCACCAGGTCAACACCAGGTTTGCCATAGACCTAATAGCAGAAGATCCTGTCGTTGTCTGTGAGACTTCCAATGTTTGGTCTAGCAGTAAGGGGGCATTAGGTCACCCTAAAGTATATATAAACATTGTAAGTATATGTCCAGCAGAAATAAGCATAAGACCAAAATTTGGATCAACAGGAAACGGGTAATCCATTTTATGACACAGAGCTGCTACAGAGCTTTGTGTAAGGTTATTCATTAAGAAATTTCTTTTTTTCGTTTATTGTTCAGGCCGTAGTTTTTTAATTTTTTTTAATTGTTTCACATTTTGTCATGTCGGGGGCTTTGAGGCTGACTATACAGTATTTGTTTTGATCATTGTTGAAGTCTGTACAGTGACTTGAATACAAATCATTTGGACTTTTTTGGATAGTTGTCTCATTGGCAATCATACAACATCACTTTATTTTATATTATGTCTTGAAAATAAAATTGACTGACAACCACTGAATTACAGGCTCCTGACAGAAACAAAAAAGAAAGTGTCTGGGTTAAACATGTTTGTGAGGGCTTAACCTCTCTGTAACCTGTGACAGTGTAACAGCACAACAAAACTGTAAAATTCAGTTGTAAATGACTTAACTCAATAGACACAAAGCACAGAAATAAGAGTACTAAAATTAAAGTTACTGAAAGCTAGTTCAAAGCCAATTACAACTAATAAATGCGTTCTCCAATACATGCATCTATTTAAGAAAATATCTTGTTTACTCTAAATCCTTGTGCCAGTTAGGTTGCAATGGTTTCAGGCTGTTAGGAAATGAAAACAATCACTGATATCATGATTTGATATTCCCCTTTCTATCTTTTCCACATCAAGACAAAATAGACAGGTAATCTTCAACTTGCACTTTAGGTAAAGTCTACACTAAATTCCAGCAAAGTTAAGCAGAATTATATGCACTGTAATATAATAGCAGCCTTCATCCTGAATGAAACAAACGTTTTGATTGGTTGTTTTTGACATTCACATGCTTTAATTATTAATGAATGTTTTATATTTTAGGATAAACCAGAAGTTGGAGTATGTGGTTATTCTGGCAGAAAATTTATACAAAAGAAATATTACAATGAGGCTGAACATGGCCCTTGTATAACATATGAGGAATATTTAGAAGACATGAAGGCATAAATACTATATAAGTGATGAGTGATGTGATGATATAGTTATACATACTGTTAAAACAATAATAAGTTAAGCAATTTGAATAAAATATGAAAAAAATGTCACTTTTAATGAAATTGTTCATTATTCTAGCACTAACTTCTTGTGAAATTGTTCATTATTCTAGCACAAACAAAATTTAAAGAATACACATGACCTCTTAAAGAAACAGACACAAGAAATTTACATGCTTTTCCATAGCATATATGAAAAGAATATATAAACAATATTCCCAGTTTATCAAATCAAGGTGAAATATTTTGAGTACAAGTTCTTACTAAACATTTTAAGAAGCACTTTAGATACCACATTTAAATTTCTGTTTTATGTTTAAGTGTTCATCTGTCTGTCAATCCTTCGGTCATCCTGAATTTTAGGTGATAAATCAAATATCAAACACTTAATATTTGAATTTACTTGAGTATATGGTCACAAGTATTGCGACGAAATTCCTTATTATTTTAAGGTAAATGTGTCCAAGGTAAAGGACAGAAAGGGGGTTTCCTTAAATATCTCAGAAATTAAAATTGGATTGTAACCTTACATGTACTTAAATATATGGTCAAATATAATGATTGAAAGACTATGATATGCCAAAAAATGGGCTTTCATATAACATGAGGACCTTACACCAGATTGCAACCTTACAAAATAGCCTACATTCATAAATATTCACATAGGAGAGAAAGACCCCAATGGATTTTGATGTTTCTAAATCTAAGGTCAAGGTCATAGTTATTAAAAATTGAACAAGATTAGTATAGAAAAGAAGTTTTGGGGTATAACTGATGAATCCTTCATTGAATTGGAATTGACCTTAAACTTACAAGCTGAAGATCCCTACTTATTTTGAAATTTCTGTGTCCAAGGTCAAAATTGCAATTACCAACCATAGTTGACTCAGTACAGAAAAGGGCTTTCTCTATCATAACTCAAAACCTTAACTAGGGTTGCAAACTTACTTAAATGTATGATCAAGTATAATGAGTGGATGATCCATATTCTTTTTTTTTCATCACTGATCATCACTATGTCTAAGGTCAAGGTCTCAAAAAAAAGCAGAAATATGCAGAATAGGGTTTCCAGATAATAAAACTTTGAGGTTTAAATTTAAGGTTATAGTTATTAAGCATGGACCAGAATAAGTCAAGAAAGGAGATTTGGAACCTTTATTAGATTGGAACCAACCTAATTATAATCAGTGGAAGATCCCTATACATTTTGAGAAAACTGTTTCCAAGGTCACAGTCACAGTTACCAAGCAAAGATGAATATATGTTATATGTACAGAAATAGAGTTTCCAACTCTAAGTCTTACATGGGATTGCAACAAAGAATGCAAGTGTGGTCTTATATAATAAAAGGGAGGAGAATTTTATTCATTTTCGAGATCATTGATAGAATGTTCCAGAATAAGACCAACCCTACAACCAACAGCACTTCAGGCAAGCATGCTACCAAGAGATCACATGGACAGAAAGTGATACATGATCAATTGTTAATTGAAAATTCATATTGTACAGTATAAAAGTCACCTAATAAAAAAATGAATTCTGCAACAACTTCAAAAAAGTAGCTAGTGCTCACTGGTATATAAATCTTTATTCTGGAGCTCCTAACCAGTTCACAGACTAATGGAGAGAATGTCATGTTGTGACCCTGACCTTTTATTTTTATACATGTACCCCTGTCAGAAAAAAAGGGTTATATAGTGATGCACATGTCCATCCGTCCGTGTGTAATATAATAGAAGTTCCTTTATTATACTTATTCCAAATGGGAGAAATATTCTACTAATTCCAAATGAAAGAAATATTCTAGAATAATAATATTATTTCCACAAAAATAGAACATTATGAGTTCCTACAGGAATAGAGAGTAAAGAATATTTGTTCATACAGGAACATGTAATATAGCATTGTTTATAACACAGTTTCAAGAGGAACTTCTATTAGGAGGAACAACTATGAGATTGTAGAAAAAACAAAGGATATGGGGTATCCATCCATGACACAAAATCAGTTCATGCTCAGCAAAAAAAAACACAAAAAGCAAAGGAACAGCGCTTTTACTGCTGTTCTTCATCTCAAAGTCAATTCATCTGTCGGTCACAAGTTTGGTTTCAGGATGATAATTTAAAGGACTGCTTGTTGACCAAATCTTTTGAAATTTGTAAAAACCATGTCATGGACCATAAAATAAAGCTCAAAGGTCATATTTGATTTTGGTGGTTTTGACATTTACTGTTCAAGGGCTATGCCTATAGTTAACTTAAAAAGTTGGGTTTCTTTGTTTTCTGAATGACAATGAAATTCCTACTCAACCAAATCTTTGTAAACTTGAACACTATGTGATGGACCATAAAATACATGTCCAGTTCGATTTAAGGCGAAGTGTACGTAATTGCACGCCTCTAGCGGAATTAAGGATAAAAAACGTGCGTCGTTAGTTACGCGGGTTATCTCCCCTACTGCAAGAAAGGAAAAATGGGCACATGAAAGAAAAATGACTTCGTGCGGTCTATCATGAATCAGGTGAGACAGGTGTCTTCTATTCCGTCCGCAATTTTTGGGGAAAGTAAAATCTAAATTTAGAACCATGGTTGAAACTGAAACTACACATGTATGATAAAAATAGAACGTGTTATTTTTTCTTTATCAAATTCCAATTTCGAAGGGATAGCGAAATATGTTTTCTTTTGTTGTGCTTTTGTGTATCATTTAGCAGTAGTATAAGGTAGCGGAAGAAGGGGTAGGGGTGAAGAAAATAAGGTCTACAATGTCCGGGCTTTTTATAACCGACTATACGATATGGATTTTTCTCATTGTTGAAGGCCGTATGGTTGCCTATAATAATTGCTTACATCCACGTCATTTAAGGTAGCTGGGGTGTCTAAATGTTGGACGATAAATTTTTCTTAAACTTCTGTAAAAGACTTCTGGGTCAATGTAATTTCAAATTTCAATATAAAAACTGGGGATCACGGACCTTGTTTTTTTCGTAATAACACATTGAAATTAACGAAATTTGGGTTATTTTATATTGTTAATATAGGGGAAACTTAAGTTTTCCTTATTGCGGAAACATTAAACGATAGAATTGGCTAAAATTCGATGAGAAAATTGCTTTTCATTAATAACTCCGAAATATCAAATAAAAATAGGGGGTCACGGACCTTATTTTCTTGAAAAAATCCCCAAAAATTTTAAATATACTTTACGACACTTAATTTTTTGATAGTTCAATCTTTAAATTTCAAGTTTTAGGTATTTTGTTGTATATTAAATGATATTTGGTAAAATATTTTTAAAACAAAAAAGTATTTTTGCAACATGATCAGAACGGACGCTCAGAAAAAGACACCGGCCGATCTACCTTAAACTGTGGCAGATAGTTGTCTCATTTGAGTCCAAATAACACAGAAATTAACAACTATAGGTCACCGTACGGCCTTCAACAATGATCAAAGCCCATAGTCAGCTATAAATACAAGCATTTCAAAAAAGATGTGGAACCCTGTCTAATTAAGAAAAGATGGAGTTAAAGTCTATACCGTAACTTTCTTTCACTTGCAGTATATTTATTTGCCAATTTGCTTTTTTTTTGGCAGCAGAAATATCCGTAAAAATACTCAGTTTATTTCCTTATCAATTGATTACGCTTGAGCATTTGCAATAATTAGGAAAATGGGTTATAAATAATTCGTAAATATAAATCAACATGTAGACATCTTATACGTTCAGGTATTTCACATCTAATATTTTATGGTAATATTCTTTACAAAGCACAAAAATGTCGGCATTCACCTCAAAAGCTAACCAAATCTTTAAACAGACTTATTCGGAAAGGATATAGTTACGATACTGTTGTCAGGTCATTAAGGATTGCATATTTTGGTATTAATATTGATTCACTCATAGGGTCTTTGCATCGGAAATAAACACTATTATTCTAAAACCAGTTGTTGGCATGATACGGGTTATGTTCTTCTCATATTTTTTATGATTGTATGATACTAAACCCCTAACGGGAGGGATTGTACTTGATTTTCATATGATGAAGACATAATCTTTCAATCAGTTTAATTGAGGTCTGGAGCTGGCATGTCAATAACTGCTAGTAGTCCTTTGTTAATTTATGTATCATTGTCTTTTTGTTTAGTTTCTTTTGTTACCTATTCTGACATCGGACTCGGGCTTCTTTCAAACTGAGTTATACTGTGCGTATTGCTATGTGTTGTTTCTTTATTCTACATTGGCTAGAGGTATAGGGGAGGGTTGAGATCTCACAAAACATGTTTAACCCCGCCGCATTTTTGCGCCTGTCCCAAGTCAGGAGCCTCTGGCCTTTGTTATTCTTGTATATTTTTTTAATTTTAGTTCATTTATATGTTTTGGAGTTTAGTGTGACGTCCATTTTCACTGAACTAGTACACAATTTTATTTAGGGGCCAGCTGAGGACCACCTCCGGGTGCGGGATTTTTCTCGCTGCGTTGAAGACCCATTGGTGGCCTTCGGCTGTTGTCTGCTCTTTGGTCGGGTTGTTTTCTCTTTGACATATTCCCCATTTCCATTCTCAATTTTATACACACTCACGATTTTGTTTCGACACTGTACGGTATAATAGCGTTATAGAGTTATATCTAGTAGAAATTGTGATGACGTTACAGTAGACATCAATAACGTCGCCGAATGTTTATTATTCTTTCCGCTAAAAATCAAACTTCCACAGGATATAGCTTGAAAACTAGCACGGTTTCTAAGGACTTTCTTTGCACCTTTCATTTTATTGTCTGATGTATTTTTACAAGCAGAATCCACATGTAAAATTAAAAAAAATTCTGTGGAGTAGTTAATTACGTACACTTCGCCTTAAGGTGGTTTTGACATTTACATTTCAAGACTTTATCCCTTAGTTACCTTACAAGTTGTGTTTCTTTGGTTTTGTGATGATAATGAAAATACCACTTGACCAAATCTTTTGACAGTTGGATACAATGTTATGGACAATAAAATACAGGTCAAGTTCAATTTTGGTGGTTTTGATATTTACCTTCAAGAGTTA